ATACATAAGCAGCTATCAGAAAGGACAGGAAAAGGCAGAGATTGAATTTCCTGGCTTTCTTCACAGGAAATATCCAAATGACATGCTTTAGCTTGTAAATTAAGGCTTTTATTAAGCATTTTAAAACACAGTTTATATTTAACAGTTGATTATTGATGATGTCAAAAAATTAATGAGTTTATAATTGAAGTGAATATTTAATAGATTACTAAAGTTAGTATTTCAGTCGCTTACTCTAGGTACTATCCAAAATGTTCTTAATCCTTTTGTTCGTAACCCGCCCGCCTGTACACTTCACATCGAACCCATACTGATGTTACTGCGTTGCCTGTGCAGGAGACTAATGTAATGAATATAATAGCTTCATTCCCAGGCAACTCTGTACATAATAATGACTCAGTATGGGCACATGCTTTATTATTCAGTTCTTTATGCTGAGTTTATAGGGTTGCCTGCAGAGGAGGCTAGCTTGAATATAAAATATATTTTACAGTCCATGCATACATTAATTAATCAAAATATTTTCTGTTAATAATCTGTTTCAAAGAAGCAAATCATGTCTTTTCATACTTATCTATCATAAAGTTGTTAGCAAGCAAGTCATGAGCCTTGCTTCCAAGAGTTATTTCAACAGAAATGCTGCTGCCAGTACCTTTCTTGTGTATTCTTTCAGTTAGGATATCACCAACAATTAACAGATGTAAGAACTTTGCTAGCAAAGAAACAGGTACAAACTTCTTCCCTAAGCTTCCAAATGTGGCATATTCTTGCAAATGTGACACACATTTCTGGTTGCTACCAGCTAAATACAGCTTCAAATCATTGCATGTTAAGTTAATGTTGCTTAATTCAACAACTGCTTGCAAAACTTTTAAAGCATCTGATGTACCATCAGTGATCTGATGAGTTCCACGGTGTTTACAATTGCTGCATCCAGTAAGACATATAAAGCTATCATGCTTTTCTCCAAAATAGCTCATTATGCCTTGATGAAGGCACTGCACTGGGTTTTCAAGAAGTACAATCAAGTCATTTACACCTTTGTATTGTGCTATGACTTGTTCATCAAACAGTCGATACAGAATGTTTTTATCACTGTAATTATAAAAAAGCTTACAGTGTGATGGCAAGCCATCACGACCTGCTCTGCCACATTGTTGAAAGTCAAGTCTCTCAGACGCGTTCGTAAAAGTATAAACAACAGGATCGTCGGTCGTAGACACCGTATTAACTTCATTCTCGGAGACTTTGAAATTTTTTTCCAGGAGCTCAACAGCAACAGGGTCTGCATTAATAGCTCTATATTTAAATTCGTCTCCATTTGGCGAGATAACAGTAATATAAACTACACCACGACCATCGATATCGAGCTGTCCACCTTCTCTTACATGTAAGGTAAATGCCATTTTAACTGCTGCTTCAAAGCTTGAACTTGCTTTTACTTCAATTTCTTTTTTACCACTTAGAACTCTAAAGTATTCGAATTCATCTTCAAGTGAGGGAGCCCTTGTATTTCATCGAAGGTTAAATTGCAGACAGCCATTTTGAATTTTTGTCATTCTGTACCTTCCCACTCCCCCATAACTCCATAAAATTGAAATTGTTGATGCGCAACGACGATGCGCAACACCAGATATAATTGTCGATATATGGCAGGCAACTCCACCATATTTTTCGTAACCCGCCCGCCCGCCAATACACTACACAGGGAACCCGTACTGGGACATACAAAGTTGCCTGCGGAGGAGGCTACCCAAATGCATCCTTGCTGTTGCTTTACTTTGCCTAGTGCCAGACAATTTCACTCGTCAAGGGGCCAGACAGTCTTGCAAGCCCTTAATGAACTTCAGTTAATAATGTGTAACATGTTTGTGACACAATGCCTGAAATGTTTGCCTTATGTATTTTTCAGATTAATATTGGTGCTGGGCTATCGCCTGGCTCCATATATTGTTCTCAACAATCAAGGAATTCTGGATTGAGTTCACAAACTGGTGTTGTAAGGTAAGAATTAACAAGAATAAATGGTCTGCTTTTAGTGCTTTATATGAAGAAAATGACAAACTGGCCCAGCTAAGGTAGTCACCCAGGATCTGTTCATATGAGCCATGCTGGCCCGTTAAACCGAGTTAGCTTGCTTGGCCGGGCCAAGTTGTTATTTGTTTCACATAAGGCGGGCTAGCCTGACAAGTGCTATAAGAAATTACCAAACAATTTTATATATGGTGGGAAAGTGATATTTGTTTTAATTTTGAAAATGGTATTTTTATTGAAGGAAACTGTTTCAAAAGTTTCAATATTGTTCATTAATGTTATTTTTTTTAATTCTTCTATGCTTTCCACTGTAGATAGAATAAAGCATGCGTTGTGACACAATTGTCAATTGCCAGTCTGGTTTTCCGGGCTGGCTGGGAAAGGCGAGATATTGCCTTGCTCAAACGGGAGCCTATCAATTAACCAGGCCAGCCCGGTTCTCATGTGAATCAAATCTCAAAAACATATAAAAACAATATACACGTACAAGACCAGATCTCGGCACTTGCAAGTCGGTCCAGCCAGACGAATCAGCCTTGATCTTGTAAACAGTCCATGGATGTAAGGACCTTGTATGTAGGAATTATTACATTTCTTGATACTGCATCAAAAATTTAGTAAATATTAACAACACAATTACATGTGAATTCTAAATCTACTCCCAATGCAGCTCATTGTAAGGCCTGTTGGCACTGTACTCAATTTTGGTATCCGTAATATGTTTACCATGCTTGGACTATTCCTATTCACACAGGCCGAGCATGGATAAATTTGGTACGGGTACCAGGGCTGCAAATTACTGTCGGACATCGGACAATGTCCGACTAAATTTGACAAATGTCCGAGGAAAAATAATTTTGATCGGACATTGGTCCGATCACAAAAAAAGTCACATTATGCATTTTTTTGCTGTGACAAATCCGATAACATTGAAAATGCACTCAATTTGCATTTTGCAATTAAGCATTCTAGCATTTTTACTTAACATTGTGCCGGAATGGCTATACATACTTGTCTCGTGACTTATATAATAATAATGGTATTTTAATAACACATCATCGCATGAAAATGAATTACAATGTGTTTTACAATTGATTTGAATGGGAATTACAATACTAAAAGTAACTATATTACAATATATCATTAGATTATTAAATAAGAACTTATAACTA